TTTTTTTTTTTTTTTTTTTGCGATAAAAAATAGGTCTAAGGCTAGATAAGTTGAAATCTTCTCTCTTGCGTAGCTCTACTTTATGTATACGAACTCGAGCCTGCTAGAGTTTTTCATTTCCTTTGTATTCTAAGGAATTTTTCAGCTTTGTTATTATTTGATTATTGGTTATCTGATCACATTCGAAATATCATAAATATCCTTTGTCATCTTTCTTTAACAAGACTATAATCCTGAATGCATAAGCTTCAAATTCTGATTATGCCTCAAAATGATTAGGACATGTTTAAAGAGGAATAACGTGAGATTATCATCTTATCGAAGTCGACCATAGTAGATAGTACCTAATTAGGAAATTGATGACTAATTTATTCCTTATTTTTATGTGGTTTACCTCTAATTTATACAACTAGACTTTAGAATATCTTATCTGTCATTTATCAAATAGGAAAAGGTCTTCCAACAATTGTAAAATGATAAATCCATTTTATAATCTTTAAATCTACCACTAAGTCACATGTCAGCTTGTTTTGTCAACTTTCCATAGTCACATAGGACAAAGGAAATTCTTTGTTTACAAATTAGTACATCTATTTATGCAAGCTTCATTTTCAGACTATATTATATGTATATGAAAATCTAAAGAAAGCTTCTAAAAATAGGAAAATATATTAAATGGTATACTAATAATCTAACCTAAGATATCAATTTAAGTGTTTGGATGAAATCCGTGAAGTAAAAAGACGAAATGTCAAAACAGAACAAATACAAGTATGTACTAGGTTATTCGTCATATTCTAAATTCATAAATGTCGTGAGGTTTAATATAAAAAGTAAATAATTTTCTTAACCACATAACCGTCTAATATTTCTCTATCATTAGAATTTTTTTTATTTATGTCCTTAAAATCAATTAGAGTTCCAATTTGAGAGTAGTATTAAATAGTATATAGACAAAAGCTAAGGGATAAATTTTAACTTTCTTTTTTTTTTGGTCAAAGAATTAACCATATAAATGAAGCAAACAAAATCTTTTTTCATGGATAAAATTTCAAGAGAAAAAGAATCCCAAACTCAAATATTCAAAATCCCAAATATTCAAAATCCCAAATTCCCAATATGGCATGATTGCGGGGAATCTATAATTGAATGTAGACATTAATACAATCTTTTATATATTACAAATAAAAACACACATGGCCAAGCTGNCCAAAATGTATCTTACAACTAGCATCTCGAAAGAAAAAAAAGGAAACTTAGAAAAAATATAGTACATAATATCTTTTTTTAAGATGTGCAATTAGGGGAAATTTTTTCATTAATATGTAGTTTTTATGAGAACTCAAAAAACAAAAGCTTACGCAATGTAGTTTTTTATGAAATATTTACACACCGAGGACATGGTTATAGACAGGAAGGTGTAGAGATCGAGCATTAAGGTTGTAGGTTAGGAGGTAGTTGGGAATATATCTACGACGCTCCAGAGTGAGGCTAGTTTGTTAGGACTTGGTCTTAGACTGTTAGTGGTTAATGTTGAGTTCACACTACTCTTTCATTCCTTCTGGTGCAGGACTTTATCTATTGGTTATTGTTTTGCTTTTAATCTATTTTCTGTTCTGGTGATGTTGTGCTTTGTTCTATGGTTTCTATAGATGGTATTGACATATTGCCTTTTTTCGTCTTCTTTTTATCTTTGAGTCGCGAATCTTTCGAAAACAGTCTCTCTACCCTTTCGGATTACACACTAACCTTCCCAGACTCTACTAGTGAGATTTTACTAGTCATTATTGTGGTTGATGATACATACATACCTTAAATTAATTAAAGTAAAATACAATGCTCATAAGTCGCTCCTTGAAAGTGCGACTTAACAAGAAAATTCTTGTAACCGTCAGATTCCCAATATTCAGATTCCCATTTAACCAGTCCCAATTCGATCCAACTTCCCCATCCAAAGCCGCGTAATTTAAGTTCTTTTCTATATTCTTTCCCTTTTTTTAACCAAATTTTCTTAAAACCGCCGGAAATATTTATTTGAGCTCCTTTTCTCCGGCGAGTGATCGGAGATGGCTTCACCGGAAACTACCAACTGGTTATACGATTACAATTTCGAAGATATAACTGTCTCTGTTGATCCCAATTTCTCAAATTCAACAACTGGGTTTTCTTGGTCTATGCAACCCTTTAATGGTTCAACAACTAACATCAGGTACTTATATTTATCAATTTTCTTTTTCCTTTTTGATTATGTAATGTATTCGCTAAAGTTTGGATCTTTTAGCTGATTAATGAGTCTTTGTTACTTTTCAATATATAGAGGATTGATATAGTTGACTTCAACTAAAAGTTGGGATCTTTTAGCTGATTGATGAGTCTTGTGTTGTTGCTTCTGAATGAAGTAGAATCGAAACAATAGAATTCATATAATCGACCCCAACCTGATTGGATTTACACATGGTTTCTATAGTTGACCTACTGATAGAATCATAAAAGCTAATAGTAGTAGAGGAATTTGGTAGTAAAATGCTTTATGACAATGTATCCGACCTACTGAAAGAGGTGTACAGACAGAGCCGGATCCAGAATTGTAAGTTTATGGGTTCCTATATCGACTTTAAATTAATATATTATAATAACCGGACTAAAAAACTGAGTTCCCACCTAAATATTCTTATACATTAAATGATTTTCTTAATACAAATATGAGATCTAGCCAAAAGCTACTGGGTTCCAGAAACCCATACTCATACCTTTAGATCCGCCCCTGTGTACGGATACCGGGATATGCACGAGGGCACCCAGGGAAATAGTTGGAGCTACAATTAAGATAAAGTTGTAAGTTGATAATAGCTAAGAGTGAAATTTAAATGTCCTTCAACTCAGTAAGAAATAGGGTGAGAATGTTAAGAGGAGATAAAAAGAAGAAAGAAAAAACAGAGATCACTGGCAGAGACCAAGTGTGATACATCATGAGAACTTTTGTTTCCTTATTATTTAAGATCATGAATTCTAGATATTCGATTAACATCATTTTCATTCTTCCATCTGTTGGTTGTTTTTGTTTCTGGTATTTATTCTGATCTCTTTTCTTTCTATGTCTATTTTAGTGTTGATATTGATGGCTCAATTGGTGAATCCGACTGCCTGAAGGAAAGCGGTTCTAAGAAAAGGTAAAAATGTTTGCCATTTAGGGACATTTATTGGCTGTTCACCTAAGCATAGAGATGTGATGTTGCTGTAACTTATCACTATTATCTAGTCAGTTCTTCTTCTTTTTTCTTTTTTTGATAAGGGAAAAAAATAATTCTCCCCTCCCTTTATTTCATTTGTGTGTTTTCATTTTTCCGGTATCATCTCGGAGGTTCGTTGTTGAGAAAATATCAATCACATCATGCATTTAATTAGGAGAGTTTAAAGATTTTGACCATTGCTCTGTCGTCTTGTTTTAACGGCCTGTATGAGGACTTATATGCCCTAAGCAGCCTTCTGAAGGTTTCATACAGATACAGTTCTCTTTGCTCTATTTGAAAGAAGTTATTATCCCACATCAATTCCACAAATTTTGTTTAGATTCTGATTCTTGTGATGTAATAATAGTACACAAAGTCTTCCTCATGTTACTTCTAGTTTCGTAATTCTACTATTACGTTGAAACCAAATAATGAACTAATTTTTTGTAGAGGTATACACACTGAGCATTGTGTCCTCAGTAGTATTGATTTTTGAAGGAAAACCGGTTGCACTATTAAAACATACCTACAGCATGTTGTTTACTCATGTTTTGGAGAATTGTTACAGGGCAAGAGCTGAATCATGCACCTCGTCAAGTTCCAAAGCGTGCAGGGAGAAATTGAGGAGAGAGAAACTGAATGACAAGTGTGCTCATTACTCATTCTTTTTAGAGCCATTTTCCCCTTTATTTCCATTTTATATATGGCTAAATTGATACGGTATCAGGTTCATGGAATTGGGTGCACTTCTTGAGCCTGGAAGAACTCCAAAAACAGACAAGAGCGCCCTTCTGGTTGATGCTGTTCGCATGGTGACCCATTTACGTGGTGAGGCTGAAAAGCTGAAAGACTCAAATTTGAATCTACAAGAGAAGATAAAGGAGTTGAAGGCGAGTATTTGTTACATTCTTCCCATTGTAATCCTTCTGTGCTTATTGTCAACTCCAAAAAACAACCTGATGACAAGAAAAGCTAAAACATCGCCTTACTATACTGTTCCCCGACTCAAGTATGCTTTAACTTGTGTAGGCCGAGAAAAATGAACTTCGAGATGAAAAGCAAAGGCTTAAGGCTGATAAAGAGAAGCTAGAGCAACAACTAAAGACTATGAATGCACAACCTGGCTTCTTTCCTCCTGTCGTACCAGGTGCTTTTGCTGCGCCAGGTCAAGCTGCAGGAAGCAAGCTGGTGCCGATTATAAGTTACCCTGGGGTTGCCATGTGGCAGTTCATGCCTCCTGCTGCAGTAGACACGTCGCAAGACCACGTTCTCCGACCTCCAGTTGCTTAAGTTGTGGCAGCTAAAGCCTATAATAGTTACTCTGATTATGTTGTTTTAGTCAAATGCCCTTTGACTGTGTTAGTTTTTGCCTCGAGTCCTCTTGGTGTATTTTGGTGATGAACAATAGAAGTTTTCTTGCGACCTTTTGAACTTTTAACAGAGTTAATGCTGGTTTTATCAACTGTAAATTTTAGCAGGTTCAACCTGGCATTTACGTGTACATTCTTTCGCCTTCTGGTTAAATTCTCTGCTATTTTTGTTCCTTCTGTCTGGTATGATTATGACACTGTTGGCTAATTAAGTAACAATATCTCGCATTCACACGGCGTCCGGAGAAGGGCCGCACCCCAAGTGTGATGTACACAGCTTATCCTAATGCAAGCATTAATGACTGCTTCCACGGCTGGAACCCGTGACCTATAGGTTACACGACGACAACTTTACCGTTATTCCGAGGTTCCCCCTCTCTGCTATGCTCCAGCTGCTGCAAGGGCCGTACCCAAGGGGTGTGATGTACACAACTTATCCTAACACAAGCATTAGTGGCTGCTTCCACGGCTGGAATCCGTGACCTATAGGTTACACGGCGATAACTTTACCGTTATTCCGAGGTTCCCCTCTCTACTATCTCCGGCTATTGTGTAATATTGTGTGCGTATACTCTACTAGTATTAATTATTTAGGTTATCTCAACTTATCTAGTATGCAATATATATATATATTATAAACTGTATATCCCACTTTTAGTCCAATGAACCAAACATCTTCCAATAAAAATATATTCACTAAATAATTCTGTCATTATTTAATTCTCGTATTATATTCCAATCATTATAATTTCGAACGTTGGAAGCATTGCTCGGGGATTTCAATAATGATTTATTCTTCTTTACTTTTTTGTTTGTTTTTATTTTTGACTTATAATAATTAGTCGAGATATTTAAATAAGAAAATCAATATGTACTATGAAGTAAATTTATAAAAAAAAACAATTTTAAATTAAAAAAAAAAAGATACTAACAAAAAGCTAAAACAATAGAACGTGATAATTTGATATAAAACAATGACCATATACTAAATTAATCTCATGATGTAAGAAATATGAGAGAAAAGGGGAAAAAGAAAGAAAAGAAAAAGAATAGAAAAATATAAGTCGCATTTTTTAAATACGAAGATATGAGGTTTTAGAAAAAGTCCTAAGTACGTAATAATCTTCATTTCCCCTTCCGACGAACGAAACTTCATTGGCGGGAAAAAAGCCCTAACTGTGCCAATTCGCCCTTCCATTTTTTTTGGTAATCCTTTAACTAATCTAATGATAATCTTTATTATTTTGAGTTATATATATATATATAGGCCGTGAGTATTTGCTGATTTCTACCATTTTATTTTTGTGCATTTTGAATTTTTCGGATTCTCGGACTCCATGTTTGCTTGTATAGTTTTTGCTCAATTTCATCTGAAAGTTTGCCCCTTTTGTTCCTCTCAAAATCTTCTGAATTGCATGCTGTTGCTTTTTTGTGTAGTATTTACTGTTTTTGTTGTGTAAATTAGTGGTGTCGAGTTAGCGTTGTGGTTCAGATTTTATGGGTTTCAGTTTGTACTTAGAAACACAAAAGGAATGAGGATAGTTTTAGTAGCACATAGTTGTTGAGAAATGCCTTGAATCTTCTGAAACCTAACAGAGGCAAGAGCCAGGAATTGGACTTTAAAGGGCAGCCCGGTGCACTAAGCTCCCGCTGTGCGCAGGTCCGGGCAAAGGAATTTATGGGTTCTAAATTCTAGGATAGCAATATCAGGTGTTTGGACAAAAGCTACTAGATTTGGCCGAACCCGACTTCTAGTTCCGCTAAGTATATATGTGAGTTGTGAGTTTTTTGTACTTATCTCGGACTAATGATGCTTGCTGAAGTCCTCTTTATCTGTTTGTTTGTATTTTTAAATAAAAAGCAGTGACTTTTCCAGATAAAATGCATATTTAGCTGTATTGAGAGCATAAAGTGTTTCACAAAACTAATGTAAGTTTTTTCAAAAACCAAATCTATTGAAGACATTTTGTTAGCGATTAACTTATCAAAAACCAATCAGAAGATAAATGAATTAAATAGTTGGTTTTAGGAGAATTGGTAGCTGTCATGAATTAGGCATCAACATAAATGCTCATATTGCAAGAAGGTGGAAGCTATTTTCTGCACAAGTTCTCTCCTTTTGCCTGTATAGTGATTTCAGTCTCTTTTAGTACCTTCGGTTCCTTGCATACTCAGTCTGCATGATATACCTCAAAAACGCACTTAGTATGGTATGTAAGATGATACTTCCTTCGTTCCATTTTATGTGGCACTATTTCTTTATTAGTCCATGCCAAAAAGAACGCACCTTCCTATATTTTGGTTTCAATTTGACCATAAACTTTCTATTTTTCTCTTAACGGCATATAGTCACAGAAATCTCATGGCATGTTTAATACCACAAGTTCCAAAAGTCCTTTCGTTTTTGTCTTAAACTTCATGCCCAGTCAATCTACGTCACATAAATTGGATGGAAGATTATCTTTTCTTATTATCTCTAAGTATTATTTAGTGAAAGAATTCACCATAAATTGTACAATATCTAACTATAGAGTAAAGTACATCAGGGAAGCAGAAACTATAGTAGCCTTGAAGAGTTCCAGAATGTCAGGCTCGGGGCTGTTGCCATCTCGCGTCACGGAGCGAAAACCTTCTATACATGGTTCACCTCTCTCAAAATTTTGTTTCTTGTTTACAAGCAACATGGTCAACAAATCCTTTCCCCAGGTTCAAGTTTCTCTAATATGACAGCTATTGATAAATTTATCAGAGAAGTTGACATACTTTGTCCACAAGGGTCGAAGTTGAGGGAATGCTATATCCAGCCAAGGTTTTGCTCGACCGTTGAAGTGGATCACACCAGCACTTTGAGCATCCGCAATGCTCGTATTATCTTGGTAGCCGAGTCCTAGCATGTGCCAAAAGGAATCAATGGCATGGACATGACCATGAAATGCAATTAGACCTGGAGGTAATGTTCCTAGCTGCCACAAACTTAGGTCTGACTTCAAGTTCTGCACAACAGAAGGAAAACTAGATCACTAACTGTTTCAGTAAGCGGTTTCGAATAACTGCAAAAGATTTACTAGTTGAAACAAAATTCAAGAATTTTGCATAATGTTTGGAATGCATTTCTTTGAAGCAAAATTTGATGTCACTTGTAGTCATGGGCAGAGCCGAAAAATCACACTATATATACTAGGTCAAAATTTTTATGTATATATATTAGATGTTGAATCCCCTTGTATGTTTACTCCTTTGTATTTTGAACCCCCTTACTGAAATTTCTGGCTCTGCCACTGCTTATAGTTACCTGTTCAAGCCAATATTGGTATGCTTGACTTATATTTGTTTCTCTCCATGCTTCTAGATCAAAAATATTCATGCCATAAGCCCATGCGCATTCATTCGGATCAAAGTTGTTTGATATCATAGGATGAGAAAAATTCAAATAGCTTTTGAAGCGCTTTGACATCACAAATTTGTCCTCTCCCCTACATGTCTCCACTGCCCCATTCACCTTTCCATTCATGTCAATGTCCCATAGAGATGAAAGATCAGTTTGAACAACGACGTCGTCATCCAGGAAGACTACCTTATCAAGACTGGGAAACAACTGCAAAAATATTTGTACTTCTCAATATTGAAAATTTTAAGTGCATAAGAAAAAAGATGGGTGTTATATGCAATTTAAGTCAGCTTAAAATTAAACTACCCTTACTTCTGGCAAATATATCCTTATGTGGTTCATTAGGGAATTGTATTTGGGACTGAGGGCTTGCAACTTTGCTGCAATGATATGAGGCTTTTCGGTTGTATTTGCTACGATTGCTGATGATCCTCCCCTGAATTGTGATCTTGCTTTTTGGTCTTTTTCCATTGCTTCCAGAACTGGGACCTTTCCCTTTGTTAACCAATCAAAATGGTGCAACGCTTTAACCTCGATGATTGCAGGTGTCAAAGGATGTAATGAAAACCAAGCTTGCATCGGTGAGAAGGTTTTGCTATCCGTGATTATGTGAAGGACAACTTTTTCAGGGCGGAAAGAGTTCTGGACGAGCGATGATGCAACAACAGAAGCAGCAAGAATATTGTCAGAGGCAAGGACAAAATGGAAATATGAATTATCAACCAGGGCAGGAACAAGTTCCGCTGATGGTAATTGGAGACGGGCATTGGCGTTGATAGAATACTCGTGCGCTAGCTTGAGATCAAGGCAGTGCAGCTGTTTCGGGATGCCACTAGATGCCACATGCCGATAAAGGTACTCTTGAATTTTGGCAGTTCTTGTTGTTTGTTCAAGGAGAGTTACCTGCAATAAATAGGCACTAATTTTTTATGACATAATTCAGTAAAAGTGTACTCTCTCTAATAAGTTAATCTTTTAGATGAGACAGTAATGATTCTTAATGGCATCAGCTTAAGCAGAGGTCCTGAATTCGAGTCTCATTGTCATCCATTATCAAAAAAATAAAAATAAATTCACATCCTATGTGCATAAAAAAGAATAAGGCCCACACAAGAGGAGGTGTGTTGAAGACATAAATAAGTAAATAACAATATGCTCTCTGTTACAGCTTAAACTTTTAGATGAGATGGTCACATAATTCAACACTAATCAGGCCTTTGACTCGCAGCTAGGCAGATTAGGAGTAACTGTTTTCTTCTTCTGGATTGCATACGAGATCTGTTATTTGCCTTGACTGGTTAATGTGATTACACATTGTGGTATCTTAGAATTACTTTATATCTATGTATAACGGAGAAAGCATGATAAGTACACAATACCATAGCTTTAAGCTTGACAGCAAAGGTTTCTGCATCTGGCTTTGTGTCCTTCATTTCTGCCATAAACTCTTCTAATGTTTGAGGAGTTTCGGGACCTGCTTCCATTTCAATCTGGTCTGAAGGTTCCTCCAATACTTGGTATATCACCTCTGGAACCTAACAGAAGTTAGGGGAATAGAGATTTTAGCATGTGATTTCAGAGTTATTAGGTAGGTGCAGGGGACAGTAGTATGCACAAAAGGATAAAAAATACACGGCTCAGAAGCGTACAGTTGATTCGAGCTGTCTTCCCAAAATCCTTGGTCCAATTTTTCTCCCCAAGCAACCTGCGGTAACATGAAATTTGGAGTTTCTTCAGTATGCTGA